GACCGCGCCTCCGAAAGGCGCCGCCGAGGCTGTACTCTCGGCTCTGCAGACGCCGTGCAGCGCTCGGTCGGCGCAGCGACGGCACGGGAGACGACCCCTCCCCTCCCCCCCCCCCCGCGGGTCCGGGTCGCAGCCGTCAGGGTGAGCTACGGCAGCGCTCAGGGCGGCGTGTCGGTGTCGGGCCGAGGTCGCTGCCGGGCGCAGTGATCGAGTGCCCGGCCAGGGGCGCTACCGCCCGAGCCTGCACCGTACCAGCGGGACCAGGCTGAACCAGCGGGATCGGCGAGGACCGGCGTGACTGGGGAGGACCGGCGGGACCAGACTACCAGACGGGACCAGTGGGACCCGATCAGTGGGAATCAACCGGGGCAGACCAGCGGACCACCCCGCGAACCCCGTACTCCGGCCGGCAGCCGGCCTCGGCGGCCACTCGGACGAGTCAGCGAATGCAGGGTGCCGACTGTTTTATGGGCGGCCGGGTCGTAACTGGGAGCTGCAGCCGGCGTCGTCGTCACGAGCGGCCGATTAACGACGGCGGCACCCGCCGCGCCGCGACATAGGCCCACCACGCGGCGACTGTCTCCAGCGGCCCAGGACACGGCTGACTTCAGCGGCCCAGGACACACTTGTCTTCAGAGTTGGAGGACACGGCTGCTCCCAGTGGCAGAGGACACGACTGCTTCCAGTGGCAGAGGACATGACTGTTTCCAGGGCCGAAGGACACGACAGTCTAGAGAATGTTCTCAACGTCTATAGCTATGCTGGTTTTACGCCGCACGCGGCTCGAACCGGACAAGGTCGGCCGGGCGCCGCGTGCGCTCGAATCGACCGCGCCACCGACGCAGGCCTGCTACGCACAGCGTCACAACACTAGTACATGGCGACGCCGCCCCGACTCCCGGCTCGCGCACGGTCGTCACCCACATCCGGTGCCGGACCCTGGCTCGCCTCTAGGCCCCATAGCTAGCGGTGATGACGTCCGCACTGTCAGCGCTACACACGGCGCCGTTCGGGGAAGAGGCCAGCCAGCCGGCCGGCCGCGGCATCCCGCGTCATCGCGGGGGGCGCACTCGCGAACGTTCGCCGACCTAGCGACCGGGCCGGCGCCCTCGTGAGTCAGGCCCCGGCGCTGGTGACCGGCCAATGTCAGCCGCGCCTGCTGTGATCTGCCGGATCTGACCGCGGCCGACCCCCAAGCGGCCTCCGCTGCCGTCAGCGGCGGCCGGTGGCCGCCCGACCCTGCCCGGCCCCGCCGTGTGCACGGCCAGAAGAGGGGGGGACGTGACGCGGCGCGAGGCAAGGTGAATCACGGGGCACCACTACTAGCGTACTACAGGCGGCCGCGAGGCGACGCCGACGGCCGCCCGCAGTCGGACCGTGGGAGCAGCACGCCACTTGGGACCGGCTGTGGCGGCGCGGACGGGGCCTAGGGTCCGGGGCATGGCTGCCGCCAGCTCGGCTCGGCGTGAAGGTCAAGTGGAGAGTCGGTCCCGGTCGTCGTGGCCGCGCTTACCGGTGATTATGGCGATGATGGCTGGGGCAGTCTGCCGATCGAGAGGGGGAGAGCGAGAGAGAGAGAGAGAGAGAGGAGGGGGGGGGGGGGGAGATCGCGGCTGAGACACGTGCAGCAGAAGCGACCCCATCGTCCTGCGATTCCCTGGAATGCAGCCATGGAGGCTGCAGCGTGCGTTCCCTCCGTTCTGCAAGGACGCCGTTCGTCCAAACCGTTTACGACTGTTTCATGGCCACTTCGCTTGATTTCTCGGCACGTGGCAGTAGGTCCAGTTCTCTCGATGTGGCGTGGCTGCGCCTGGCCCGCGGCTGCCGTTGCCGTGCCCCGCGCTCGCTGGCGCCCGGTGATGTCGGCGCGCTTCCGCCGTGGAAGACCGGTGCCGCTGGCGGAGGGCACCGATGCCGCGCTCTGCCGTGGAGCGCCGGCGGCCGCTGGTGGAGGGCACCGGTGCCGTCACACACCCGCCTGCTTTCGGAGCGATCGCGCGCTGATGGTGCCGACGAGCACGACTCCGTGCGGCCTGGACCACTGGTGCAGGGGTGAGGCGTGCGCGTGTGTGGTGTGTAAAGGTTACTGGACCATGGGATCTTTGAATGGCATCATTCACCCTGGTGGGGGTCTGTGCGTTAGACGACATATAACCGAAATAGGACGCCAGCAGCGATTTTGCTATTTATTTCTGTTTTACTGCACTGCTTATAGCAAAACTTCCATGGGCGGCAATCTAGCTCATTATGTCATCATACCGCGTGTTGTGTCGCTTATTTCATGAGGTGACATGAAGTGTAAATTTACGTTAGTAGACAACATCAATTATTTGACAACGGTGTGGGTGACACGCATCAACGATGAGAGTAGGCGTACAGTAATGATTTGTATATGTAGGCGCGTCACGGGAATACTCAATGTCTCTAGCAGCGCTCATCGTCAGGACTGAAGGAGTGATCCATGTAAACGGCTAAAAACGATGACAATGTATTTAAGGTGCCTCAATGACTACTTGATTTCTACTTCTATGGCTACTTCACGACATCGAAAGACCGTAATATTTGACCTAAATAGCCTGCCAGGCCAAAGCACCGGCAGGTTAGGATGCTCTAGTCGCCCTAGTCATCAGGACGCGGCAAATGCATGACCTTCCCTGTGTCCAGTTTGGAAATCCTACCGAATTCCCTTCCCATTGACCGTTCTAGCGGCGGCGCCCGAAGTGCCGCACCTGGCCGACGGCATGTCACCGAGTGACGTCTGTTACGTCACGTCTGTCCGCGCGCGAGACTCTTGACGCACGAGATACGCCGGTGACATAAACGACAAGCGTCGCGTATCGGCATAGATACCCAACACCAGCAAAAGTCCAACTCATTCACCCCGAGCGCGGTCAGCGGGGGGTGGAAAGGCCTCCTCACACGGCTGTATCGCGTGCGTCACCACTATCAGCACTCGAGCACAATCCACGTGGCATGCACACTGGACCACGCCGGTCGTTGGAAGATACGTCCCATCCACTGTCGCGAAGATTGAGCGAAATGTGCCTGCGGCGTGCACGGGAAGAACGGACTACTTAAAGTAATCCGCCCTCAGCCACCAGTCTGCGGCTCCCTCATCGCGCGCTCAGTGCGCTTAGACCCAACATAGCCTATCTCAGAGATCTGCAGTGCAGGTGCACTCCGACCTGAGCTGCCGCCACCTGACCCTTGCCGCCGGAAGGAAGCCATTTCCGGTGGGGATCGGGCGGCCGGCCATCTGCGAGCGCGACCGGGACACGGGACGCAAGTGTGTCCGAGGCAGTCGCACCCGGGCCGCGCGGCGACTAATGGGCGCCAAGCACGGGCCGAGCGTCACAAGTGCAAGAGGCGCCGGAAGTCGACGCCAATCGAAACTCGGCCTGGTGCGCCAGCTGTTTAAGCCGAGTGCTCTGGAGTTTTTTTCACGTCGTTATGTCTACTGCGTACTGAACCTGGTCAGGGACATGTGCGAACAGAATATTTGGCTGGCGCTCCAACGAGCAGGAAAGGCCGTTCGCTTCATTGTATGGGACGGGGCTATCATCAAGGTTTGATTTTGGAATGCGTTGCAGGATGGGGGAATGCGTTTGGGAGCAATGGGGTGTTTGTGGCTGGAAACGATGCGCATGTGCGACATACATCAGGAGATTGGCTGCACTTTGCCTGGTTTCGTGTGTGAACTTCCTCACCATACCGGGGACTGGCGTGTCACATTAGGCTCCTCTGAAAAAAGGAGACTCCTTAAACCTGTCAGAAATGTTCATAGCTCCAATTAGTCAATGCCATCGGTTTACCCGGTTTGGTTATCTGACAGGCTATCTGCCAGTGGTGCTGTGTGTGCAGTTCCCACTATTGTATGTGTTTGCACGTAAAAAGCAGAAGCGTGGGTTAGGCTTCCCGTGACAAAGGCTTGCGCTGGCTCGTAATGCATTATGACGGCGGAAGGTGCCGAACATCGGCACGGAAGCATGGCGATCTGCCTGCGCCTAAATGCAAAAGTAACATTTTGCAATCGCTGTAAAAAGTAGGAACGGTGAGATAAAAGCATGAAACTTCTTGGACATGCCTTGCCTTGCCTTGCATGTCATTGTTTGTGTTCACTAAACCTGTTGTTTGCTTTGCCAGGAGTGATCTCAAATGGGACGAAAATTTGTCAGCCAGACCGTGTGAGTCAACCCAAAACACTGCATGCTGGTGCCAACAACAACAAACACATCCACCTCTCCCTTGTCACAAAGCACGAGTGCAGGTCCGGTTCCTCAGATTCCCATTCTCCGGTCAAGTACCTCCCCCACTCCCCGAGCCTTCCCCCCCCCCCCCCCCCTCCTCCACTCGTCCTTCTTAAACGGCTCTGTGCTGGCCGAACGGATGTCCGACCGCATAATACCGTGTGCAGGGGATTTGAATTTTCCACGGCGTGGCCGTATCAAGAAGGGCCTCAGAACAACATCCGTCTAACTTAGCGCGATGCAGCGGTTCCAGAAACGAGGCGACGATGAATTCAGTGATATCACGCTATGTATGAGGTCATACATTCCGCTGCTGAATTCCCATTGCACCGCGGCGGAAGGAGGCGGAGCCTGCGCTGCAGTATGACATCACTTTGCAGCAGCCTTGGGCACGGCGGGCAAAATGTCGGAGGAGGCCTACGCTCCGCAATCGTCGAATCCGACGCGCACGGACGTTTCTCGGATATTACAGAACAACTGCGACGCCGGATGTAGTACGACGCCTCATGAAAGCCATCTATTTGCTCTCCTGCACAGAAATAATCCCGTCGAGGTATAAATACACGTATGACGTCGGAAGTAGTGACGTCACCACCGCGGCGGGCGTCCGGCGCTGCCATTGGTCGACGGCCGGCTCGATAGCGGCCCATTCATGCGGCGTATAGTGGAGTAAGCGTCCGGCTAGGCAGGCAGTTGGGTCTGGCGCGCGCTCGGTGGCGGTCGCTCCTGCAGCGCTGAGCCCCGGCCTGCTGGCAGGTTCCTCCCACAACCCGGTCAAGATGATCATGGACGGCGGCGAGCTGGCGGCGGCGCCTAGTCTAGCCGACACGCACTTCAGCCTGCTGGGCTTCGACAGCTACAAGGAGCCGTTCTCGCCATCGCTCAGTCCGAGCCAGCTGAGCGGCCCGGACCCCGAGAGTCTGAACACGCCGGCCGCGGCCGGCTCCGACATCCCGTCCTTCTTCAGCAGCTTCCCGACCATCACAGCAGGTTAGTGGAGGGGCCTGCTGGGCTGCGGCCAGCCGGCCGCTAACGACCAGCGATCGACCCTGTGCTGGGGGCCACTCCTGAGGTGTTGTTTTGGTCAGTGGTTTGTTGTTGTCATGTCAGCGTTGCTTTGCTCTTATGGTCAGTGGTCGGGACCTTGAAATGGCTTATAAGGGTGATCACAGTCATGGACTGCTGCCAACTGTTTACAATAAGCTACACCACATTATCATGGGTGGACTGTTTGCAGATGCTTTATCGGTGGTCTAGAGTCTTTTTAAATTTAATTTTCCACTAAAGCCACACGTCAGTCGTCGTGTTGTCTAAAATGCTAAGCAAGCGTAAGGAACCGCGGTCAAATTTCGTGTGGGTGTGTTTTCCTGATGAGTTTGAGCACGACAGAGATGTATTCCCATGTCCCACAAACCGCCCAGCCCTGTCCTTGACATGCTTACCAGGGGCGTATGACACCACATTAAGCACGTTTACGTCGCATCTGCTTCTTGTCGTTAATGCCGTAGGCATCTTGGCAATTACCAAACGCTTGCCCGTCTGCGCGTGGCTTGCTAAGACAGAGGCGTGTACCGAACTGGATCACTTTCGTCATGATGCCAAAATCATATTTTTCACTTTGAGATATCTTTGAAAGTGAGAGGTGTAAGCTACCAAGCCACCCATAGGCCGTGCCTGGACATTGTTGCCGAAGCGTGGGGAGTAAAGCTGGACCATATGCCAAATGGTGCACGAAATTTTGCACAATTTTGCATGGGCGATATGCGAGGAAAAAGGCACCCCTTGCCGAACTGAAGGGCCAGGTACACATCTAATGTAGCCATTTGTATCCAGCTATTAGCTATGCATTGTAGCTATTTGTAGCTTTATAGTAGCCCACATTTCCATACCCTTAATTGGGTCCACCCATCAGCGGTTCGTCGTTTCGAGCCATTTGTCAATTGGCTTCGGCTCATCTTTATAGCTCCCTACAGCCTATTTCGAGAAGCGCTGTTTCTGGACGAAAGTCTGTCCCAGTGGGGGCGCAGTGGAGTCGGGACGCCTGGCCAGTGCGGGCCGCGCCACGCCGCCGTAAGACCGTCGACGGCGAGCCTCGTCGCGTGCCGTCGGCTCTGTCGACGGACCGAGCTGCTGGGGGGATGGGGAGGGGGGGGGGGGGCGTCGACGCGTGCCGACTCGGTCTCCAGGTGGTCGGCTAGCCAGTGACGTCACGACCGTACCACGTGACGTGGCCGCCGCAGGACATCATCGATCGGTTGACGGAGCCCGGGGAGGGGGATGGGACGGCGACACGACAGGTGTGCCTTCGTCAACGCCAACAGAACGCGCGCGGCGCCGAGGCCGTTGACGAACGGGCTGAAGACTATGACGTCAGAAGCGGCAAATGGGTCGTGGTAGTTGAATGCTGCGTTATTGGACGTCACTGCGAAAACGTAACCGGCGGATCGTTCAGATGCGGATGCGGCAAAATGGGTGGGGAGACAGCGTGCGGATTCCGCCTTTAAAGTCATCTTCACGTCGCGCTCTTGCGAGATTGTTCGGCCCTCTACCCCTCTTGTTGACTGAAGCAAACAGCCGCGTTCCCCGACGCCGACCCACGGTGCTGTCGGCACGCCCCCTGCCCCTCCCCTCACGTGTGCCGTCCCCCCGGCAGGCCGTCTCAAGCGGGCAGGCGCCGCCGCCGCGCCAGACGGCCCCTGTATGGTCAAGTCGCCCGGTCATGCGACGTCATTTCTGTGACGTACCGCTAGTCACGCCGCTCATGGGTCCGTTGAACTAGGCCGTGACGTCAGTATTGACGTCACAAGATGACATCATAGGTCCGCGCGCTGATTGGACGTCGGTGATGTTAGAGAGAGCCGTGCGGGTTGCCGGGCGGCCTTGAGCGAGCGCCGTTGCCGGGCGGCCACCTGTTTGCAAATCAGCAACTAGCGTCATGAGCCGACCAAATACGTGCAAATTTGACGCGGCGCTCGACCAGTTTCCGGACTCAGGGTTGGCATGCGCGCGCGGAACGCTCAACAGCGCCGCTGCACGACGCAGACGCGCCGTTTTCCGCCAGCCTGGCCGGCGCAATGCGCTAATGACCGTTCACCTCTGGTGTGTGCTTGTCTGCGTGCGTGCGTGCCAGCCGGTGTGTATGTTTGTCGGCCGGACGGGCCTGTCCGGCGCGCGGCGCAGCGTGAGAGCGGCGACGCTCAATCGAAACCGACATGCACCCGCCGCGAAAACAAACAGTTCTATCACCAAAGTCTGCCATTAGAGCCTTGCAGGACAGAGTCGGCGGGACGCACCGCCTTTGCGCATCGCCGGCCGCGCGCCGCCATAATACACCGTAATCGCCGGCTATTAAATTGATCGTTTGTCGCCGGCAGTTTTTGCGCCGTGTTTTAGCGCCAGGCCGCCGCGGCCATAAATCCACATCTGCCCATCTGCAACACTTCATTTATAATCGACGGGTAAAAACTGCGAGAGCGCGGCTGAGGCGGACGACCGGACACGGCGACCGGACGAAACGGCCACCCCCGACATTTGCCGGCGCTCCGCTGACCTTTGGTGGCGCGCGGCGCGCGCGAGCCCACCGGCCGGCCGACCACCCGCTGCCGCCCGGGCCCATCGGCTTTAGTCTTGACCGTGATCGTCGGCCGCGGCGGCCGGCGCGCGATCAATGCCATGACGTCACGCCACCCGCCGCCGGCCGCCAATCTATATGGAGACGCGATGGAAATAGCGGGCCGCTTATAGGGCGGGCCAGCGGCGGCCGTGCGCGCCGACGCCGCCGCCGGCGCGGCGGAACGGCCGCCGGCCGGCCGACGCCCGCTCTCGGAGCGGCTAAATCGGTGCCGACGGCGCGGCCGGCAGGTATTTATAGGCCGCTCCGCCGGCAGGTGGTCCCCGGTATTGTCGCGGGGATGTGCGACGGCCACGGGGCTCAGCTTGTGCTCTGACGCAAGCGCGCTCGGCGGCATTACGCCGGGAGCGCGGGATGCGTCGAACTAGACGTACGGACCGCGCGATTAGCAGAACGGCTTACGCCGGCACAGATCCCAGCGGACGGCAGAACCAGGCTGTACACCGTATGGTGCCTTCCCGTTGGAAAGAGGTCAGCTGTGCAGCAATCTGTGCCCGCTGCCCCGGCCTCGGCCCGACCAGGGCGCCGAGAGCTCGATTCACCAACCAGGCCTCGACGACAACCCTGATGTCACGCCGCGCCGAAAAAGCCGCAGCGCGGCTGACACGGCGCAGATAGCGGCTTTTTGCCGGCGTGTCAGGTCTGATTGAGAGAGCGACAGAGCGGCGGCGATGGCGGCCGTCTGTCGCGCCGTGTTCGGAGCGCGCCGAGTCTGCCGCGGGCATCAGACACGGCCGGGGTCGGTCCCAGCATGCCCCGACGACCGCCGGCGCGAGCAGTGCCTGACCCGTTCAGCGAGCAACCAACGGCAGCGCTGGGGCGCCGTGTGTTGATGCGTCTGCCGCACAGCTGGATCAGCACAGCACAGCCGCACAGCACAGATCGTAAATTTGACGGGGGCTCGAAATGCTTTGGCGTTGCGAAAAACGCATCGCCAAAAAGCCTGCAACTGCCATCTAAGGTGGGGGTCTGCAGAGCTAAATATCCATGCTCCTGTGCTAACAGAAAGAAGTAAAACACCTCGAGCGAATCATTGTCTCAGCTGTGAACGCATCACAGAGATCACACACGGGGAAGGCAGTATAACAGCAGCACGCGCTAAAAACATGCCCTGCTATCAATGCATCCAGGCGTCCTTTATGACCCCTCCTTCCCCCTACGTGTGGCTCAAATCGCTCTTATGTGTGTGTGCACTATGATACTAGCCGTCAGCTCACTGTGTCTGACTTTGCTCTCCGTCTTTTGCAGCCGACGTCAGCGCGTCTGTGGCCGGCAGTCCGGCGGCGAGCTGCTCGAGCGCCGAGGAGCGGCCCGACGGCAGCAGCCCCTCGCCAGCGCCCTCGCACGCCTCCTCCACGCGCCCGGCGACGGCCGGCTCTGTTAGCCCGCACAGCGGCATGTTCCCCTCGCACCAGCCGCCGCAGAGCGGCGCACACGGCGCCGACCCGCAGCGACTCAGCTACCGCGCCACGTTCGCCTCGGCGCCGGGCGGCGAGCAGCCGACGCAGCAGCCGGCGGCGCCCGGCGCGCCGCCGGCGGCGCTCGGCTCGTGGCTCTTCACGCCGCTTTTCTCGCTGTTCGGCCAGCCGACAGCAGAGCAGCAGGCCAACCAGCAGGCGCTGTTCCAGCAGCAGCAGCAACAGCACCAGCAGCAGCAGCAGCAGCTGCTCAGCCAACAGCAGCAGCAGCAGTTCGACCTATGCGGCCGCGAGGCGTTCGCCGCCCCGGCCGGCTCCGACATGTTGTTCGACCCGAGCGGCAGCTACGCGCTCAAGCCGTCGCCGGGCTTCGGCAGCTGCGGTGCGGCCGTGACGTCAGCGGCAGTGACGTCATCGATGCAGGCGCCGCAGCAGTGGCCGGCGCCGGCGTTCGGCGCCGGCTTGGAGTACGGCTTGGCGGCGGGCGGCGGCGCAGCCGGCCCCTCAGGCGTGCCGACGGTCGTGCCCAAGCAGGAGCCGTTCAGTGGCGAGCCGGCAGCGCAGCTGGCCGAGTACAGCCCCTCCACCAGCAAGGGGCACGAGATCCTCTCGCACGTGTACCAGCAGCTGCCACTGCCGCTCAAGCTGCTGCCCGTCAAGCAGCGCAAGTACCCGAACCGGCCGAGCAAGACGCCCGTGCACGAGCGGCCGTACGCGTGCCCGGTGGAGGCGTGCGACCGGCGCTTCTCGCGCTCCGACGAGCTGACGCGCCACATTCGCATCCACACCGGTCAGAAGCCATTCCAGTGTCGCATCTGCATGCGCTCGTTTTCGCGCTCCGACCACCTGACGACGCACATTCGGACGCACACCGGCGAGAAGCCCTTCTCCTGCGAGGTGTGCGGCCGCAAGTTCGCCCGCTCTGACGAGAAGAAGCGGCACGCCAAGGTGCACACCAAGCAGAAGCTCAAGAAGGAGCCGCGCGCCGGCGGCGGTGGCGCGGCCGGCGGCGGCGCGCGCGGCCCGCTGTCGCACACGATGACGTCACAGGACCCGGCCGTCAGTCGGTCGCCGTTGTGAGGCGCCCGCCGCGGCGGCCCACGGCGGTTGCCGCCGAAATGCTAGTCCGACATCTGCGTCGTTTTGTGATATTTGACGGCGGCGTTCGCTCGTGGCGCGCGCAAACCTGGCAGTACAAAGGGCCGGTGGAGGACCACGGAGGTCATACTATGACGTCAGCTTTAACTCGAGCCCGCCGGCGCCGGGCCGGGCGGCGAATCTCAGCCCATGTCCCACCTGTCCACAGGGTTCGTTTGTTCCAGGCATTCAAAGAGGCGCGCGGGCGCCGGGCCCTTGCGCCATTTTGCACATTTCCGCCACAGGGGCGCAGCTAGCGACGCGCCGGGGCAGGTTAAACTTTGAGCCGTTTGGGAACAGGTCACAGGTTGCGTGCGCGTAAAACGAAAGTGGAGCGGCCAATCGGGGGAATGTCTGCGCGGGCTGAAACGGTGGCTAACGCTCGGGTCGGTGCCTGACCTGGCTGCGCCCCTGTCTCCGGAACCTGGTGGCTCTCGATGCGGTATCACCGCCGATTCCAAACGCCGGTCATCATATATAACTCGTTGTTCATGCGCACGTCATGATTGTTGGTGTACCTTGTTACTGTTCTTATATAAATGCTTTTTGCTTCTCTGTGACCTGACGTGGCGCGAGCCGGCTCTGAGAGCGCTGAGTACGGTGGCGACGGACGCTTGTGCCGGAATATCGAGGGACGGTATATGCGGTATGACTATGTAGAAATAACCCAGACGGGGAGAAATGTCATCGTATTGAGGTGTAACCACGTAACACCACCAGTATTGACATCGCTGACAAGGTGGAATCATGTTTAGTTCATAGTAATTTATTTTTGCTGCTATGTCTTGATGTGCTGTAAAATATGTTACATGACTAATACATTTTAATGACTATTTACATTTTATATAGCACCTGAGGAGAGAGTGAGATTTAAGTTTAAATGAAAGTGAAGTCAGAAACTGATTCGAGAAGGCAAAAGACTGACATACACTTTGGTCAAAAAACTTGGCACAGATAGAGCACGCGGATTCTGAAAGGAAAATATTTTAAACCATTATGCAAAGCAGCAGCTAAATGCGTCAAGTTCTGCACAAGTACACTGCATTGAAAACGCGGAGAAGTGCATATGAAAATGCCCAGCTTAACCCAAAAGCAATTTGCAGCGAAGCATGACCATAGTGTCAGCCACACCTGTCATGTACTTGTGACAGCGACCATAGGGTCGTCTTTGTGGTAAAAACAACAGCAAACAGAACGCTGGCAGTGCAACAAAAAAATGCTGAAATGTACGCTGCATGTTTTTTATCGATAGAGACGAGCCCCCCAAACCTGATGAGTGGCAAGGAATGAGCGCAAGGCTGTTGTGGTGCGAAACATATGACTGATATGCACTGGTGAGGCTGTGAATCGAATGTAACGCTGAAACTCAGTTTGGAACAAATCGGTCAACAAATGGCTTCGGAACAAATGTTCACGAAAGTCGAGCCGTTTTATCATCTACTAAAAGTTGTTTGGAATCCTGAAGGGAACAACATGCAATGGAAAGTCGGTGTAAGGTGTGAATAGGTGAATCATTGATAATTTGCTTGTTAAGCTTAGGCTAAGCGCAGGCCGAAGAAAAATAACATAAGATCGCAGGGCCTCATTCTCGCCAGGCCTCCCCGATTAGTCTTCCTGTCCGCAATAAAGTTATCTGGGCCAGCTGGGTTAAAACTCTTTTGACACTTGACCTGGAAACCTTGACCTGTAATCGTTACCGTGTTCTTTCAAGTGTAAGGTCGCTGACTGATGATCCCATCCCAGAGGCCGGTACATACCACCACTGAGCCACCGGACTGGACTGCCAACGTACCGCGCTCTTGACCCTGCGTGGCGCAAAACGCGGCCAGTTCTGTCCGCTGGCCGCATGAGCTGAGCCTCAAAAGTCTGCAGGCCGAAAATTTGGGCATTCAGCGCTCAGCTTTTCTGTCCTGCGTCCACTCTCTCCGCTGTTCTGCACTGAATGGAAATATTCTCTATCAAGTGCTCTCAAAATTTGGTTGAAAACTTGAACGAATTTCAACGATATCCTAGACCTTTGCAAGCCCAATTACAGTCAAGCTCACGTCACATAAAATCCTAAAGTTGAGGCCAAATTACTGGCCTGACCGTTATGTCATGAACCCAAATGACTGACAGCTAGGGACGTATGCATGATTTCAAACAAAGGCCAGCGGGCACAAGCCAAAATTTTGAAGTGAAATACCCACTTTGGCGCTCCGCAGCCGTGCGGATCTCTTGAACGCCTCGTAAAGGTATAGGATATTTTCAGTATACTGATTGCTGCATGCCCACCTTAATCTGAAAATTTTACACGTTCACTTTACGTGTGTACACCAATACACGCACAAATTTGATAGGAAGTGTGAAGGACAGGTGATTGCTGATCGCCTCTTCTTCTGAATGCTCGTGAAGATATTCACGGCACCTGGAGTCATGGGTGAGTCCGTAGACGCCACGAACACCTGTTGCTGCACTGAGTCTCTGGACGTGAAGTAATTGGGAAACAGCGTGAGCTCCGACAGGTAACATGCAGCGTCTTCGTTGAAATCTACGCTTTCCGGTAAAGGACAGCTGTTTTCTCGGGAAGGTCTCATTTGGTACCACACGATTATGATGCGCCGGCGAAAAGTGATGCTGTTTCAAACGGGACCAATATATATTTTTTTCCGGTGTGGTCGCATGCAGCAGAGCCTCGGACATCTCCTTGGAGTGGATCACATCCGGCGCAACTGTCAGCTGTGACTTGTGGTGGGTGCAGCGTGCCCACACGTTGAGCTCTGGAATGGGCACCCCATCACACTGCATGCAGTAAATATATGAATATGTATACATACATATATATATATATATATATATATATATATATACACACACACATATATATATATATATATATATATATATATATATATATATATGACATAATATTGTATCGTTGGATGAAATCGTGCCCACACCGGCGTATCTAAATTGATATCTAAACCGACATATCGTTGAATATACGACAGTATGTGTAAGGGTTGCATATGCGTCTCGCGTGATCAAAGTAATCGATTATGCCTGTAAAAAACCGAAATGACATCGAAATGGATTGGGATGAATGAAGCACATTTCCGTATTTTGAACCCCATATGTCCAATGGCGTTACATCTAAAAATGACCGGTGGAACAAGCTGCGACCTTGCTGACAGCGAAGTTTCAATGGTGATCTTAGCATCATCCAAGGTTTTTATTATACCGGGTCAAGTCATGAAAATACCTCAAGAGCAATGCTGACGTAAATAGTATTTTGCATTGCGCATAAATGAAACTGTCCTGCATGCAGACAGTTATTCCAAGCTGAGATACATTCACAACCTTGAAACGCTGATCCATCACCCTGTTCCACGCTTTTGTTTTCACAGACCCAGCGTAGAAATAGCAGGGGCAATCCTGGTGGGGCCCGCTATACTGGTTAAGACACTGAAAAATACAAGATGATTAGAGCTACCAGGGTAGATATTTAAGCTGGTTTGCAATAGGCTGAAACAATGCCGGCGGAATTCCCTGTTCAGTGCCGTCAAAGTCATCACCATCTGAACATTGCACAAAACGTGCTCATGCTGAATGAAGCCTTTGAACATTCATGATGCAGACAAACACCAGTGTCTAAGACGCCTTTTGCCTCGTTGGATAAACGAGGTTTGAACAGTCGTAAGTCATTATTTGTCATCGCGTTGATCATGTTAAGACTCAGCTGGCAAAACCAGACGAATTTGCCAACGCGTGTCAGTGGATTTGAAGAATACTTTCGGATGTCCGTCTGTTACGAGCTTTTTGCCATTGGTCCACCGACATAGGATTCGCGCACCAATAAACAAATAACATTTCTTGAAAATTTGCTTCCTATGTTTTGAGAAAGCTCGGCGAGTTTGGCTGTTCGAAAATCGTCGATGAACAAATTTTATGATGTCGCAATGATTTGCTTTTCTGGCAAATATGGATCGAAATGCTGCGAAAACATAGATTTTGCGTGACGATTGATCTCAACAAAGAGGACTACATGCATGTGTAGGTTTTATGTACCTGACTGCTTTGCTTCAGGCTAGAGCGTCTTGCGTTTCGATCGGTTTCGAAGAGGCTGCGGAGGCTGGTCCGGTCAGGCTATCCGGTCGGCTCGCCTGCGTCCGACAGCTGTGAGTCTCCTGGGTTATTTGCATGTGGTTTTACGCCTTGTCTACTTTAGTTTCTGAAATCTGACATTAACCGCTAAAAACGCCTCGAAACAGGTAAACTTTTGGCTTGCGCGCTGAAAGGCGCCACTGACTGCACTCATCGATAACTCCCCTTTGCCAGCGCGATTGTCCGTGTTCTCGTTCGCCAGGTTCAGTTGGTCTAATTTAGATGCGGGGCTAGGTTGTCGGGATGTGGGCTGAGTCTCAGCCCACATTCATGAGCTCCTTGGCAACTTAAAGATTTGACACTTTCCATGTTACCCGAAGGGCAAGGTGAAATTGGGATGCATTTGCAGTGTTGCAGGATAAACCCACCTGATCAACCAGTTTGCATGCAGATGCCCACCAATTTATACGGCACGGCTTTTAAAGCATTGCTCTTCATGTCGCTGAGAGCGGCATCAGCCCGCAGCCAGTGGATGTCAAGATGTTGGCTTCTGGAGAGCGTGATGGCCGCCCGGGATGAGCGTGACGGCCGCCCGGTGAAGATGGTATCATAGGTCAGGACAGCAGATTCGTCTGGTTTGGAGTTCTCTCGAAAACATTCGCCCAGCTCGGTAGGCCTAGGCAGTGCTGTCAGATATTAAGATGCTGGAGGTGCAAGATAACTTCGCTCAAAAGAAAAGGTGTGCATCATCTCCAAACCATCCCAACCGGCGCCAGCCGTGGCAGCGATGGAGCACTCCTGGCAACAGCACCTCGTCGCCCGCGGTATCACAATCTGCACTAGCGCAAAATAAGTGCATTTGCTACTGTGTAACGGCCAGTTACTGATGGCTTTAGCTGCCGTCTGCAACGACGTAGCGAGGAATGCGATTGATCGACGCGGATTATGTTCCCGTTTTAGCTCAAATTACGATGAAACGCTTGAAACCGGTGCATTGGGTTTGCGTGGGCGCTGTCGGTCGCGGGCGCGAAAGCTGCTGAGTCACGATATGCTGGGGCGGAATCTCGTTGACACCTGTGACCCACAAATGATCGGAATACACGGTGTAACTCGCATGGAAAACGACAACTTCAGCACAAGGTCTCAGTGTATACCCGGGCAGGATGTACGCTTGGGTTTCAGAATACCGCACGCCAGATCCGTGTGGTGAGGAGAGCCAGGGAAATGTCAGACGGAGGGCGGTGACGGACGCAGTGCTGATGAAACAAATATTTACTGAGTCTTATTACCGGCTACTACTTCAGACTGCTTCTGGCGTGCTGTACCTTTGGGGAGAGCTGTTTCTGAATCCCAGCGTCGACTGTGCGATGTACAGTGTGGTCACAGGCCGACGAGAACGTTGGGACTGCGGGAAATCGTGTCACGGATAGAGCAATTGTTTTCATTATCGTCTCCGTCTGGAGCGTTAGTATGTACAGTGTCACGTCTGGAGTGCTAGTATGTGCATTTCGGCCAGTTATCTCTCCAGCCATCGTCAGGTGTTATGGAGTCCTGAGAAGGGCTAGATGATGAGTGACGTCACAGCCATATGCGTTTGGCGTTTGGCGCTATGTGCCCGTCACAACCCGAATATTTGACAAAAGACCCTAGCAATCCTCGGAATTGCCAGTATTCGAACCAGTACAGTCAGCTATCAGCTGAGCTAACTGAAGAAGGGAAGGTCCTTCCCTGAGCGTGCTCTTGGCCACCC